TTCAATATTTGAAGCTTAATGTCTTTGCTTCCCCACCTGACTGAGAAATTGGATCTGAATATGACTTTTCTACCAGGTAGAATTTTTGAAAGCAGTTCCCAAAATATCCTGCTTTGTCAGTGTCTTGTAGCTCAATTATTTGTCGTAGGCGTAGGCAATTTGCGGGGCACTGTAAATCACATCACTACCTTTTTATTGACCTACGTAACGATTAAAGTACAAATAGATAAAGTACGACATTTTAAAGCTCGAAGCCTTCTAACAGGTTATCCAACCGGTACGTATAGTGAAAAGGGGGATACATGAAACCAAACTGCACACTAGCAGAACATTTTCCGCAGCAAAACAACTTTTCTCTCAACTGTGCATGAACGTTCCATTATCCTTTTACAGTAATCTGCAGGTGACAGCATTGTCTCTAAGCCAATCGAAACTTCTGAGAAATTAATAATTTGAATGATAAATAACAATTATTCACAACAACAACAACGCCCAACCGTTTTATTCACCAAGTTAAAAAAAAAGTTTACAAATGAAATGGTTGGGTTTTGTTGTTGTTGTTGAATAATTGATAATTATTATTCAAATTAGTAGTTTTTCAGAAATTATGATTGACTTAGAGATAATTATTTACTGAAGTGGAGGTGGTTAGTGGTAGGTATTTCCCGAGTGGGAAATATACACCACTAAAGACTAAAAAGTCATCCGTCTCTTCGCTCCATCCTCCAACGGGCGACAAGGTGATAGACACGCCCAATTTCCCAGCGTTATAATGTCGTCCCGTTCTTCCCGTGACGTCTCAGACTTATTTATGAAATTATGGCTACGGTAAGCCGGGAAGCCATTTTGCTCTTACCTTACGCGAGTTTGGCGTCGCTAGGAGGTGAATAGCACTGGGTATTCCAAGTTTGAGTAGCCAATCAGTGCACGCGAAAAACGTTTTAGAAAATGACAAAGATAGTACGCGCGCTGTGATTAGCTGAGAGGTGTGCCTGCATGAGATTATGAAAACATGGTTGTAACATAGGACGTCGAAATGTTTTGCTTTGGGCTCGTTGATCACGCAAGCGCGTATTTGAAAAACGTTTTGAGTTGAAAACTCGACGAGTTTACTTTTAATTATTTACAATTGAAAAAACGTTTCTTCGCCTCAATTGAATTCAAAAAATAACGGTCGAGTTTTGTTATTTAAGACTTAATATTTAGGAATTGTTAAAAGCCGTTTCATGCCGTCTGTTCCTTAGTATACGTACGGATGACAAGGATGGACATGGATTGAAACTTGAAATTTGGCCAACTCTTTCAAAAACCGAAAAAAAAAATGTGTTAGTGCTTTACAACGAAATTTGTTTGATATGTTCTTCATAACTCTACAGGAGCATTTTGTGTATGGTTAAAGGCACTACGTAATGACTTTAGCACAGAATTGACCTAAAACAGCAATATTCTCGCGACATGGCACCTTTAAGTAGAAGGTAAACGTTTCCACCATTTATCTTTCAGGATGGATGCGTCTTCACGTTTGAGGGTATTACTGGATGCTGTGTTAGTTTGTGTATGAGACTTAAAGGAGACTCCTATGCCAAAATTTAATCACTTTGCAAGGAGCAAATACGATGTTAGGACAAGAAAGTTGGACAAATTTGATAAAATAATTACTGTAGTGGGTGTATAAATGCTTTTCGTGCTTCAGCGTGCGTAGCTATCATTGTTATATCCCCGATGAAAAGAGCAAAATTTTGTTTGGTTGGCACCCAAGCTTCATAGAAGTCGACGAACGCAAGGGGGATTTAGTCAAATTACAAATCAGTACGGTTAAGGTGGGAAACAAAATGCGACAGTTTTACCTCATACCCATGCGCAGGACATGTCATAATTCATAAAGAACTCTTCAGCGGCTAATACCAGAAACTCATAAGGGGTTAAAACGTTTAACTCTCTTATGTTTTCTTTGTCCGATGCTCGTGATTATTCATTTTCAAAAGTACCATATTTGGAACGATCGAGAAGAAGAGATGACTGACCAATCAAACTTCGCAAACAACGTGACGTAATTTCACTTCAGGTTCCCGCGCCCGCTTAAAAAATGGCCGACAAAGGGGGGGAAAAACTCCCGAAAGCCAAGAAAGCTTTCAAAGGTTGAAACCAGGAATCTTACCAAAACACTGAGCAGGATATTATTGCCCTAACACCCGGGCCAAATGTAACGTTATGAAACCCACTGACGTCGTCACAACTTCTTGAGGTTGTCACTTCAAAAAACGATGCCTCGTTGACCCTCTGCACAGTAAACTTATACTGCAAATAGGCTTTTAAAATTTTTATATTAAAAGTCTAGAATAAACAGTTAAAAATCTCTTCGAATAAAATTCATTAGCTGCGTATCGAAAAGTGTCGAAGAACTGAACCTGACATCGTCGCAAAAAGTGATGCGCGTAATGAATGTGAGAAGCATATGTTTTGAGCTAATTTTATGAATGAACAAACTCAAAACAATAGACAGAGAAGCCGTTTCTTGAAAATTTTTATTCAAAATCCAAAAAGTTAATCCTTTAAAGCAATTCGGAAAACACTATCTGGATCGTAGATCCGTTCACGCAAGTGAAATCGGCTGAGCACATGGCAAAATTCAACACAAAATCCATCTCAAATTGGGGCACATTTTGTAATTTTTTTTAGCGCCGAAGAGAAAAATTTATAAAACGCCTATGAAACATTTAAAAATACATAAATTCCCTTTCAAAAACCTAATTGTCTTGGCCATAGAGTGCAAAATGTACCTGAAAATTCAGCAAAAACTTCACCGCCTTGGTTGCATTTCAAAACAGACCAGAGATCCGTCGTGAAGAAAACAAGGTTGAATTCCTCAAAGGACGATTTCTTGATGAAAAGCTTCCCTTCCTCCACAAAAAGAAATCTGAGCATTCTTTTGAACTTTCTCTTTCCATTTTTTTGTCTTTTAATGGTGTATTTTTAAGCCTTAAATGCAGAACTCTTGTCTTAAGATATCTGCATGGTGATCGCGCGACAGCCATTGTGTTGAAAATGGATATCTGTCTCGAAGGTTTCCAAATATGGTAAAAGTGAATATTCACGATCATTGGACGCGAGTTACACGTTTCAACCCCTTATGAGTTTCTGCTAATACTTAATATCTTGGTATGAATAATGCCACCGCAATTCGTTAGAATTTACTACCCCTTCCCACCCCCTCCTGTTTAGTGACTTTGCCGATGATACCCAAAGAAACCTTTGCCTTTATTAACTGGGCTTGCCGAATGCTGGCCCAGTTCATAAAATATCTTCGATGTTTTATCCGGGGGGTTATATCTACCAATTCGTAGTTGGGGTGTGCCGTCCTGATTCTTTAAAACGTGACCCTAGACCCTATTTCAGACCAATAACTATTAGGCTAAGGTAAGGAAGTAGCCCTCCGGGAATTTTTTTTTTCACAAAATGAACGCTATCAACTATTAATTATCAACTGACAAATTCCGGGGGGGGGTATTCCAGGAAATTCGTGGTGGGTTGTGTTGCTTATTTCAGATCAATACCTACGAGGCAAATATAAAGGAGTACTCCCAGGGGATTTTCGTTGTTATGGTGATAAACACTATAAATAAGCACACTATATAACCATGCTAAGCGAAGGCAGCCATTAAATGAAAATGTGTTTGAAGCTAGCGTACTGTACCTTTTCATCGTCTCCTTCAAAAGATGTTACGATGAGTACCTTTTGCGGTTTTCTTCACTTTTTGTTGAACTTTGAACCTTTTAATGAGTTTTTTCCTTCCAAAACGTGATTGCAAATCTGTGTCTGTCTTTTTCAAAAGATGGTAGGATGGGTCGCTTTCGAGATTTCTCTTCCCTTTTTGTTAAAGCTTAAACCGTTTTAGAAAGGCTTTAAACGCAATATCAGACAAAAACAAAACTTAAATTTAATTTGCTTAAGAACCAGAATTGAGAAATGTGCTGCTTGTTAACATTGGTTGATGACCTGTTGAACGACAATAACTTTTGGAATTTCCGGTTTGGTCAAATTAGTCTTGTTATACTGTAGCCTCCCACGCAGTCGTTTTAAGGGGAGTTCGTCTTTCATCCCTCTCCACAAACTTATGGGGAGGGATGAAAGACCAGCTCCCCTAAAAACGCCTCTGTGGGAGGCTATTTATACTGACACACTATATTTATTTCTGGGGAGCAGAGGGATTGGGGGAGGGGTGCGTGAAAATAACGCTTATTGTTTTCTGCTTAGAATGCCTAACTCGCCTACTTTTATTCACAACGGTGGAATTTGAAATGTTACCATACAGCCCCGACTTAAAAATGGTACTCATTTTTCCTGTTGCGAAAATCTTCCAAAAGGGTACAATGTTTAAATGAGTTTATGTTTAACTCTCACGTAGCCTACATGGCAGGCGTTAGAAAGAGAGGTGTAAGGGAAATGAGGGCGCGAGACCGCGCGCGAGGGAGAAGGGGAACTTTCCTTTCCTTTCCCCCTCACGCGCCCAAATTCCCCCTTCCCCTTCCCCTTCCCCTTCTCCTTCCCCTTTTCACGCCTACCACACAGGCTACTCTCACATGAGATGCTATATCACGCAATGGTCAGCAACAAGGGTATGTGGTCAGCACAAGGGTATGTGAGAGTGCACAGCCACCCCATCCCCCAGGAAAGCCCAGTTAAAATTGCTTTTCGGCGATTCTTGTTATAGTAGAATCCCGATTTCTCGAAGCCGCAGTTTTCGAAATTTCCGATAATCCGAAAAAGAACAAGCCTAACTCCCCTTTTATTACAAGTCAAGCACTCTAATTTTACCCCCTATTATTCAAATCAATTTGCTTTTTCCACGGATGAAAACCTCAAAGAATAACCATTTTTCCCGCTTTTCACCATTGTAACCAACTGTACTTGGCGAAAAAGGGGTTACGAAATATACCCTTGAACGATCTAATGAAACTTATTGATGTGCATGTAAACGGTGTTTTGAGACCTGGTTTGAGAGCAATTACAAAAAACAGGGACAAAAACCATCATATTATTTCCAGTAATATTTATTGATTACTTCAGATGGCATCCCAAACCTTAAAACCTTTAATCGTATTTTGTGCAGTACAATATAGTCGCACATCCTTTAACACCACTAAGGCTAGCTGCGACAGAAGCGATGAAATTATCACCTCTATGCACACAGTACGAGAACATAAGGATGCTTAGATTTGTCTCTATAGACTGTGCTGGCAAATCGGATACCTCTTCCAGGTTGCAGCTTGTTGGTAGCACGAATAATCACCCCATAGTTGGGTTCACCGCATCTCCATTGCAGTACTGCGCGTGTAATGTCAAACTCCACAAAGCCTTGGGGACGGAAGGGGAAGATTGTGACTGTCTGTCCCTGTGGCAGGGCTTCTGCATCGTTGTCATCCAACCCTAGGTACTGGGTTGACCACCTTTGCCGGTAGTCCCTCTTCGTGGAAGTTGCTTGGGCTTGTTTCCACGACTTTTTCACCCGGTGCACCTAAAACCCCAAGCATTATTAACAAGAAAAAAGGGATTTTAATCAACATACGATTCAATGCATCTATAAATGGTCAAAATTGTAAGACACTACTCGTGACAAATGTGGAGACACAAATTAAATGCATTTTGGAGAACTAGAACCAGAACTTATTTTAGCTATTCGGCGATACAGATTAACTAGTTAATTGTATTAAGAGTTAAATATTTTCTCCAGTTAGCGTACGCCAAGGGTTATTTCATTTTAGGATTTTATTTGTTGCTCGGAGATACTAGCCCATTTTTGGCTACTCTTAAATTCGAGATGAAATAAAGTTTTACGTATGTATGTATGTCTGTCTGTCTGTCTGTCTGTCCGTCCGTCCGTCCGTCCGTCCGTCCGTCCGTCCGTCCGTCCGTCCGTCTGTATGTATGTATGTATGCGACACTAGGCTCTCGTTATATGAAAATCGCTAATAAAATCTATGATGATTAAGAAATAACTTGAGAAGTTTGATTATTAATTATATCCATTTTGAAATCACTGGTGATCCCGGCAATCTGATTGGCTCTCAGCAGTGTAATTTATTCACAAATCACTCTATTTTTCTGCTCTAAATCACATCTGTTCTAAATCGCGTCATTTATGTTCTAAATCACGTCATTTCTGTTTTCAATCGCAGCATTTTCGTCCTATATCGCATCATTTCTGTTTCAAATACAAAATGAGATGTAAAAGCCTTTTTGTTTCCGTTTTTCAACAAACTGGTTACTAGATCGATAAAGTATTGGTACTGACTGAATTCTGCGATTTCAAAATGGCTATAATAAAGTGGTAATTAAAAATTCGTGTCGAGAAATTTTGGTCGGAAATCATACTTGTGATTTCAAATCGAACTCGCGCTGCGCGCTGCGTCCGATTTTAAAATCAAGCGTATGATATTAGACCAAATTGCATTCCGCTCAGTGCAATGATTACCATTATAAATTACAAAGGGTACAGTAGCCCTTGCAGCCATTTGTGGTTATATACTACCGATTCGCTCGCGTGAGTATTTATTTTGAAAATTGAAAATCTGACCGCCTTAAGTTGTAGGATGGGTAATGTTCCTCAAGAATATCACAAATACTCGGAGGGCTTAGATTGTTGTATGTATTTAAAATATCCATATTTCCTATAGAGACCCACTGCATATGCATTGCGCCCGTAATATATATTTGTAAGCAATTTTGCTCTCTCTAGCTACCATAAACCGTCCTAAGACAACGTTCCTGGGTAAGACCTAGTTAACAATTCACCTACGTATTTGGGTACGAGACAGTTTGTAAAAAGACCGTATACTTTATCATTTTGACAGGTATATAGTCCGGTGATTCTTGGACGAAGTTCCTCTCTATTGTTCAATAATTTGATATTGCTTTTATTATTGTGACTCTTATTGCAAAGTTTAAGGTTTGAAATAAACTAACCATCTCTATCTTGTTCATTTTCCTCCATCGCCAGAACACGTTCGCTTAATGGGTAGTTAAGTCCGAGCAGTTTCCAACGGTAGCGTTGCCAATACATGGTGCTTTATTTTGTTGTCATGTGCATGTTTTTTTGTTAAAGCTTTCAAAAAAAAAACCTGGATTCTATTGTAAGTTACGGAATCATTCACCGCGGTTAATTTTTGACATTAAGCGTAAGAATTCGCTGTACTTTTAATTATAGCTATACACTCTTGACTGCAGTGAACGACGCAAATGCGACTTTTTTATTTCTATTTTTACTTTTAAGATTTTTTAATTACCTGGTTGCGCTCAAAAATGCTATTAATACCAAAAGACGAATTAAAATTAGGTATAAATTGCCTTAAGGATTTATATGCCACACCTGCATATAGCGGGCGACGAACGGGGTTTTTTGGATGGAATGCCAGCTTGCCTTGTGGGCATATACATAATAAAGATACATCTTGGCAGATATGATCTTTGACGAAGAACAGGATTTTGGAACGTTTTCAAACTGAACGAGCGAGCGCTTGTTGGGAAAATCCGTAAGTTTAGACACCATAAGGTACGGTAACCAGTTGTAGTTACGAGTTGCCCTCTCCAGGGAGACATCCTGAGTCACACGAAGCATGTAAACAGTTCCTCGGCCAGTTTTCCAAGTTGTTCCTGTGGCAGCTAACGCCAGCACCATAATCCCAGTTACCAGGCCAATCATCTGTTTTATGTTGGGGGTAAAAATGGTAAAAAAAAGCAGGCGAGTTTTGATACTGCACAAAGTGCAAGTCAACATCTTCAAGTAACAGAAGCTAATAAACAATGATACACATTGCATTCTCTTTTTATATAAGAATATTTATAAAATTATCGAGGCTGAAATTTGCAGAATTTTAAGAACATCTTAAGAATAAACCTCAGGCTGAGATTTCGAAAAGGATATAATTTTGTTTGTTCAAATCTGTAAAAACAATGTAATAATATGTTTTTATCTTATTCCTTTCTCTAAAAGGCAAAACTAGCCAACAAAACGAAAAAACCTGCACTAAACATAATTCATTATAGCCCAATAATTATACTGTTCTAAAACGGAGATTTCATAAGCTATAATTCACGAATAATACAACATATTTTCCGCCTAAAATAGGAATAAAAATAAGAATATTCAGCCTGGGCCGGAACAACAACATTCTTATAAACGAATGGCAAGAAAACGAATCAAACGACACGCAAAACCAGTCAGGTTTTCCCTCGCGCAGGCTTCCGGTTGGATACTTAGACAGTTGAGAAATGACTGAAATTAATGCAAGTGCAAATTATTGAAAATACTAATTTTGCAACTTCATTAAGCTATTACTAAGCGGTAGGGCCAATTGAAATCCTTAAATTACTTTTACAATTGTGCCGCTTGTGGAAACGTACCTTTAGAATTAACAACAGTGTAACCAGATGAAGTTTTGTAAGAAGCCAAGTCGAAAGTCCTTAAGATTCGGATTGTTATAAGGGCCTTTTTATAAACACATACAGTCTACCCTAAGGGGAAATTTAAGTCTTCCTGTGTTTCTAACAATCGCTTATTATTAAGGTGTATAACAAAGGCCATAAAGGACTTGTAAAAACTTGCTGAAAAGACTTTAGGGTATTACCTTTACCTGACGGCCGCCCGCATGAACAATGAACACATTCCGAGACACACTCTTAGTCCATCAGATAAATTTCCTAATGGAGAAATATTCATGGGAAATAAAAAATAATAATAACAGGCTTTCTAGAAATCATTTTATAAAAATCTACATATAAATTCATTCCTTCGAGCCCAATAAGTTGTTGATATAATATGGAAATTATTTTATTTGAGAAAATTCATATGTAATGCAACGGGACTTTCCCCAGGAAATAAAGCACATGATCGTCAACAGATATCTTGACATGATAATAATTCGGCGTAGTGATAAAAAATACTAATTTTAAACTTTTACAAAAAAACACAAAAACAGTGTTTACTAGGACAATAAAGGTTTGACCAAACTACGTTGGCGCGATCTTATTAAATGCCCGACTCTTTTCACACAGATTTGCAGAAAAAAAAAAGGACTCTTTACTGATAAATAATACAAGCCTATTTTTTCGTCATCCAAACTAGTAAAATAGAAGAAAGAGCGGAGGGTACCTAATAAACCAGCAAGGTTTCTTTATCCTTCTCCGGATGTATAGAAAAATGTCAACTGCTTAATCAAAGTGTCTTGTTTAGTCTGTGAAAATCCAAGAAATTTACAATGAATGGTACAACTGCTTTGCAAGTTATATTAGTTATTTAAAATAGAAGAGGAAAATGTATTCATATTAGAGGAAAACATAAACGTCTTGGTTAGTATGTTAGAGAGAAATTTGATCAGAAAATGTTCTATCAACTGTAGGATGCCAATCAATTTTGGCTAAAAAAGACAATCGACAAACCATTATATATAGAATAAATTAAATTGATAATTTTTAAGACAACGCAAAGTTGCTTCGCATGAAATCGGTTGCGAATACATAGGACCCACTTTTTCCAATAGTTCAAAAAGAGGCCATTTTGATTTACGCTAGAAGAAAAAAACACAAAAGACTTGGACATCCACAGACTTCGATAAACTGTCTAACATCCTAAGCGGGGAAAAGTGCTGAAAAAGGTTTCCATTTCCAGAGACGAGGCCTTAAAAAAAAAAACGAGTAATTGAGGGGAGGTGTCACGATTAACTTGAGGAATTGGGACAAACACTGTATTAAGAAAAAAAGGCTTACTGCAATTTGCGAAAGGAAATGAAAATCTGTATTTTGCGAAATCTGCAAATTGCGAAGTGAAAATCTGCATTTTGCGACATCTGTAATTTTTCCCCTCTCACAATGGCCTGACCTAAGAACAATAAAATAACAATGAGACCATAGATGTTCATCCATTTTTGTGAGCTTGATTATGTTTACTGAACTTATGTGATGTGGTCATTGAACGATAAAGGGTAATTCAACACATGACACAGACAGTGTGTTGACCAATAATTTCATTTAGTATATCCTAAAACAGTGGATAGTGTTTTTTGCGCGCTTTGATTCACCACTCAATCAGTGAATATCCTCCACTATTCACTGATGCACCTGCAGTTCATCCGAGCGAGCGACGCCAAACTAGCGTAAGTTGCGACCAAAAATGCCCTCCCAGTTTGCTGCCGTAACAAACAAAGAAATTTCACAACTAATCAAGCAAGCTGTTCCCGAAATACACAAAGAAGGTGACGAAGTTCGGTTTGGAAGTTTTAACAGGTAAAGCTTTGTCTTTTTTACCTAAATTTATCGATAAAACCGGTGGAAAAGTTTTTTGTTTACAAATGCAAATTAAGCTTAAGTCTTGCGTTACTTTATTCAGTTGACTAGTTCATAAATAAGCTTAAAACTAAACTTTGTAATCCTTTTTTACAGAGTGATTTTAAATACAAAAATAATTTCCCAGCAAGAGCTAAACAAATGCCTTCAAAAGTTTTGTTTGTCGCTAAGAAAAAGCGACGACCGCGGCCGTTTGGTCATTGCGCGCCAAAATTGTAATCGTTGGCAACAATATTAGAGTTAAAAATCATCATTTTTGTGCTCGATTAAATCACTGTTTTAGTATATACTAAAACAATTATTCACTTCAGTGTCGATCGTCAGTGGCTAGTGGTGGATTATTTGCCTCGCCGATTCGCGGTCTCCCTAAGTACCACCACTAGCCACCTCCACTTCAGTGAATAATTGTTATACTCTAATCAAACTGAAACGATTATAAAATATTTTGTTAAGTAATCTAAATAATCACAAAACACAGAATAGAAGCGGCATCTCGTTTATTGATGTCCGCGTTCGAATAGGCTGTGTGTTTACCAATAATTTTATTTTATGAATGAGATTTCGAATTATAATTCATTATCGATAGTTTTGTTTGTTGTTAATACAGACTTAAACCCTGAGCGAGACAATGTATTTGATGGGAAACGATAAGAACAAGCTTAAAATTAAGGTCGTCAGTCATAAAAGAGCAGTTTCATCGAAAAGAACCAACAACAACCAAACAATTTGAGCTTACTAAATATAGTATTTTGCAGAACGTACCAGAGCCCAGAAGATATGGAAATATTGAAATATTTTCCGTTTTACTTAAAGTTATTGTGTAAAAGCAATAGACCACACTTTCCATGGGTTTACCCGCGTGATAGCCCATTGGGATGTTGGGAGAATACTCGAAAAGCTTCAAAACGCGTTTTTCGGCAAAATCTCCAGGAGCGAATGGGTTAAGCAAAGTACCAAACTTTTTGAAAAAAATCCACTTTTCAGGATAAAACAACCAGATCTGTCTATTTCATGTCAAATCAGGTGAAAAAGTTGGTAAAAGGCCATTTTTAGGTTTTTTGATTAACCCATTCGCCCCTGAACCGCCCGTAACCGCCCGTGCGGATCCACGTCCTTTCTACCCTTTGTGACGTCATCAGTTTTAACGGTCAAGGACAACTTTCTCCGCTAACTTGTGCAGAGTGAAGAGATCTTTCAAACCATACCAGAATGAGCACAATTCAGTCAAGGACACCGGAGAAAGAGGCAAAAAACCATGTAACATTGACCTGAAAATCTCCATGGAAATCTTGTTCCATTGCCCACCTACCTTTCCTTTGACCTAATCCTAAGATCCTAAAAGCTTTCCTAAAAACTATTCCCACCAAAATGAAGCCTACTAAATGCCCAGCAGCAGAAAAAAAAATGAGGCAAGAAAAGCGAAAAAAGAAGGCAGGAGAGAAAGCGAAAAGTAAAAGTCAAGACTGCTGTGTCACTTTTAAACCCAAAAACTGTCGAAATTTTGCTTTCTGCGCATGCCCGAACTTCGCAAGCTGATATTTTGCATCTCGATCAGAAGGCCGCGAAGTGCGTACGACCTGTAAACCGGTTTGGTGTAAGTTTTAGCTCTTTATAGCACGACAGTGACCAGAAAACCACTCGACTAGCTTCAAAACGCGTTTTTCGGCAAAATCTCCAGGAGCGAATGGGTTAAATTAAACAGCGGATAGTGTTGTTCGCACGCTCTGATTCGATCGCTACTCAATCAGTGAATATCCTGCACTATTCTAATCGCCTGGAGAGAGAGTAACTCCGTCATTTGAATTAATCGGAGATTATAGTGCAACAGAAACCAACTTTTCACTAATCCATACCCAGTAATCAGAAATGTGTTGTTGAAATTAATTTATTAACGCTGTCTGATACCATATCTGACCTTTATTAACCACTTTATAGTATAAGTATAGCCCTGGCCCTGATTAAGGCCGCTTATTCTGTTAAACGAAATATCGGGCCTCCAACAAATTAACCCTTTTGCCCTATGATCAGCCTTGCATTCAGTTTCATTTAGTCCATTGGCACAATTAACACTCGATACCATTACATGTATTTTATTTTTCTGGCTTTTAAAATTATGCCATTAAATCTTCTATACTTTCGACATGTCTTTGTAAGAGTAAATGTGCAAAGTAACGTTTAATTAATTGAATAGAATAAGGTATCAAATCTACTACATATACCTTCAGGACTATTTATCCCTATCTATAGTACTAGTGCACCCATGTATCACTGAATCAGAAAATCACTTTCATAAAATTTTCTGCATTACATCAATTGAAGAGTTCTTGTTATTTTGTGGTGGGGGGCAAAGAATTAAATTGCATTCGGTGTACAATCTTGGAACGAAAATAACACCAGAATAAGAAGCCAAAAGAAAAGAAAATTTAAAGAGAACAAGGAAAGAAGGAAAGAAAGTGTAAGGAGAAATGCAGTGTTGGCATAATTTTGATTTTTTGTAATGGCTACTCCGAAGATAGTTTTCAGTGTACCACAAAAAGTGGTTAGTAGTACGGCCATTAAAGAATCCAGTAGGCGATTTTCCAAAACAAGCGGGTTTGGGACCAATGACCTAAAAAACTGTATGCTAGTCTAAATTTACACACTTGGAAAAACTGACAAAATTCTTTGGGATAATCTAGCTGAATTTTTGAAAACGTAGCTACCGAAAATGGGTTCGTTGCAGCTTTACTGTCAAATGGTAACAAAAAACTCCTTGCTGGGATGCAAAAAGCACAGTGGAATCTTGAAAAGGAAGGAAATTACCATTTTTTATTATGTGCCAAGACTCCTTTGTCTTTCTTGCCCCACTGCGTTTGCGTCGTTTGCGTCGGCTAGCAGAGTGTTAGTGTACCACGTGATTGTTTAGCTGCAAAAGAGCCCATTTATAGCCATTCGGCCTGTCTAAAGCCAAATAACGGGTTTTCTGGATCGAGCTAGCCAAAAAATCACATCAAAATTAGTAAAATGTTAGAACGCAGTATACTTAAGGATTCATTAACCGACCGTATATGTTTCAAACGACTGGCAATAAGAGGGATTGCAGGTAACCTTCTGTAAGTGCCTGGAAATGGTTCCTACAAGACGTCTGATAAAAAAAATGCTTTCAGAATTCTTTTGTCTTGTTTCCTTTATTTTTCACCTTTATACTACTACATAAGAAATTTCTTCGATTTGATTGGATTAGAGCAGTGGTATTTCAGCTTAATTTGAAATACCCAACATGTGAAAAATACAAAACCTTTCAGGGTAGAAGTATAAACATATAATAGCATGATTTGTACGTGATATTTGGTATCAATACCACTCGTGATATTTCAGACTTAATTGTCTCAAATTTTACTCGCCCAACGGTTCGAAAAATTTCGTATAACAATTTCGAAATATCACTCGTGGTCAGTAGTTTATGCCAAATATCACTACAAATCATGCAATTTTTACTGTCATCTGCTCGATTATTCTACAAAGCAGCCTTTCAGAAAAATAAAATTTCTCTCCATTCATCCTTTTTTAGCCTGCGAACGCAGACGTATTTCCGGTCGTCGCTTCTCTCGGGTGAAGGGTGAAGAGAGGCGACCACCGGAAATACGTCTGCGTTGACAGGCTAGCCTCTTTTAGAACAGTATTAAGAATCAATGGGATCAATTTTAACATGAATAAACAAGGTGTCATCAACAACGCGACGAAACAAACTTAAATTACTGTACGAAATAAATCTTGCTATCCCCTGTGATGCGTCGACTTCTTCTGTTAAGGGCCTGCCAGTTGAAAAAGTGACATATAAAGACCTCACAACGTTAAACCTACTAGAAAGTTGATCTTTTTGATCTATTAACGTAAATGTGACTTTTTGACGAAAAGGCCAAGGCAGCATACCATCAAAACCGCCTTTCATAAGAAGAATATATACTGAAAGATACCTGTTTCTCTTTGACTGATTACCATCTGGCTCAATACAAAGTCTTAGNGCTTCTCTCGGGTGAAGGGTGAAGAGAGGCGACCACCGGAAATACGTCTGCGTTGACAGGCTAGCCTCTTTTAGAACAGTATTAAGAATCAATGGGATCAATTTTAACATGAATAAACAAGGTGTCATCAACAACGCGACGAAACAAACTTAAATTACTGTACGAAATAAATCTTGCTATCCCCTGTGATGCGTCGACTTCTTCTGTTAAGGGCCTGCCAGTTGAAAAAGTGACATATAAAGACCTCACAACGTTAAACCTACTAGAAAGTTGATCTTTTTGATCTATTAACGTAAATGTGACTTTTTGACGAAAAGGCCAAGGCAGCATACCATCAAAACCGCCTTTCATAAGAAGAATATATACTGAAAGATACCTGTTTCTCTTTGACTGATTACCATCTGGCTCAATACAAAGTCTTAGCTTATACCCTTGTCTTCCTGCATAGAAAGGCTCACTTTTTATCCTTTTATTACGTTCATTCTTTGCTTGTCTCAAGATCTTCCAAAAAAATTAGTCACCCTCCATACGAAGGACAAGGATTCTTCATTCAATCTCGCAATTGTCTTGCTTTGTTCATCCACTTTCATCCTGAGAGTAGAATTGGCAACTGTCAGTTCTTGTACCTGCTTCTGAAGAAAGTCGAGTTTTTCTGTTGCTGCTTTTAGATTTTTAAGCGTTAATTCGATGTGAAGTGTCGTTGATGTCTGAAGGTGATCTTCCACTTCTTTTCGCTGAATCTGCATCAGAAAAAATATAACTTCCAGTTATTATTTTTGCGTGTGAATATTGATTTGTGATTTTTTATGCCTTCTAATGAATAGTTTTGAGCAATTTGTCTCAAAGATTTCAAGTTTTATGTTATTACCCTGATTCATCATGCTTACGTAAATTCTCTTAAAGTTATGACTGTTTGCAGTTTCTATGCAAATTAGGCTTTGGGTTATGCGTTCGGCATGCTTGAACTCTCAATTGTTTAAGTTCCAGTCAAATTCTTTTGTGTCTGTTCTTCGTCAAAGGTTATTTTTAACCCTTTTCACATGCTAGAATGTTAACATCAAGAAAAACCACGCCACTTTTAATGGACTTACATCGATGCAAAATACTTAGAAACAATAGCGTTTGATTTTCAAGCGGCACGAAATATTTCTGGCACCACCCATAAATCGAGTGAATTTATTTTATTTTCTCACGGCTGTATGTTAGATTTCCCAAGTCCACTATCCTAAGAAATCCCTCTCAATGAAAAGGGAACGTTGTACATCTGATTACTCTAATTTTTTATTAAAACTGGGCACTGACTTACACACAGTACTGACAGTTTACCTTTGTATCGCATCCTATCTGAGAATATGGACAGTAGATCAATGTCAGCGGACATTTGTTGTCAATATGAGCTGCTATCTAAAACGACAATGGCCAACAGGCTGTTCTTAGTACTTTCCGAATACGTACAGAATATTAAAATAATAGAGAAAACTACTTTAATCACTCAGTTTACAACGGTATATTCGCCTTTATGAAAATGAAGCAGGAGTTGTAAACAGGGCGGATCGCAGAAACTCCTGAAAAATGTGGTGCCTGAGTAGCCCCTTCTCAAAGATATCTCTTGATATGAAAATATTAAAGAGGGAAAAAAATCCCACAAAATACACTGCATATTCTTTAGACGCATTAGTATGACAATGTGCTGCTTATTTAGTGACTGCCGTAAGCATCCCTAGAACAAAGGTAACGATCTTCTAGCAGTAAAATAGGAAGCCGAGTGGTTTTCTATTCGAAAAAAGTGGCGGCAATATTACTTTTCTTTTGTATTTTATACGTGGGGTGTATATAAATCATATTTGCCCCAATAGACAGTATTCGTATTCTCCGACAGTCCTGGGACGAGTAGGCCTAGATCGTGAATGCGAGGCTCATGCGGGGAACTTCTCGCCAAGAGGACAAACAAATATGAGAAAACTGTCGCTGAGTTTGCCGAATTTAAGGAAAATTCTTAACATTATAAAGTTCCGAAGGGCTTACACACTTGAGAGAGACCATTATTTCAAACAACAAAGGAAGATCTGCTCATTATTACTAAGAAAAACAGCGATCCTGATCATAATTATATTGATGAAAAGAGTGCTTGATGAGCGAGTTTATAATTTAATATAAACAGAGATGTTCTCAAAAGCCACGAAGACATTTTAATTGTAATTTTCAGTTTCCTTTAAACTTTTTGAAGAATACCTTTTATTGAAATGGACGTAATTATCGGAAGCCTGCGATAACGTTAACAGTGATGTTATCACACCTACTTTGCAGTTGAAATTTTCTAACAGAGCGGATGCAAAATCTTGAATGTGTATTTGAAGTAAACCAAACGACTCATTCAGTGGATAATTACTTATCAGGACGGGGCTTAACGTTCTGCACACAATCCATGTGCATTTTAAGGAAGTTAAACCGGTTTGAACAAAGATGACTAGGTAAAATTTATTTTCAAATTTCAGTTACATTACGGATAACAACTGTGTGAGAGTACAAAAACGTGCGCGCAGTTCAACACAGAGTTTGGTACAGACGATAATACTGAGCAGTTTAAGCTCCACACTACAGATGCACACAAGAGGAAAAGAATAAGAAGAAGAATAAAATTGTATAAAAAGGAGTCGAGTATTGACATTTTGACACAATATACCATTTTCCTGATTACTTCTTGTTTCTTCTTTTGGCTTCGTAGCTTTTTAAATTTTGCTGTTAGTACGACCAGCTCTTTTCACAGTTTTGTTTTTTGAAACATATATCCCTTTAGCTTACCCGTAAGGTTTCAGCTTTTAAATCTTGCAGTTTTTTGCTGATTTCTATCGTTTTGCAGCGATTCAGCCGCGACTAATCAATGTTTGTTTGTGTTTTTGCCAAAAAGTTCCCCGCTTTAGCCTCGCAATCATGCTGTGAAGTCTCTCGTCCCAGGGCCGTCGGGGAATACGAATATCGTCTATTGCATTTTCAGAAATGAAAAGACCCTTTACCTTGAAACAAGTCAACGCTTGAGGGCAAATTACCACGTAGACAATGAGATAACTAACTAACTTAAAAGGGTACGTTCGACTGTTAATATTCCAGAACAGAATACGAAAAAGTTTTGTTACAAATCTCTTCCACCTTGATTTTTGGACCATGCAAAGGAATTATTTATTTGGAGCAGACTAGAAATATTGCAATACAATGAATGACAAAATAAGTGTTTTCTTGACTACATTTTCTTATTCCGGAATATAGTAAAACGAACACGCCCTAAGTTCGCCAATATTTTGGAACTAAGGCGTATGAACGATGATTGTGAGCAGTAAAAAACTGTGCAAACCCACGATACCTCCTCCCTAGCGAGCAATTCACCACAACCGTTTAGGCATTCCTCAGGTTTCCTCTTGCAATTATCAGCATGTTCCTATGGATACAAACCATTTTTTAAATATATTTCCCGAATTTGACTACCTCTGAATTCCAATACCTAATAGCAGGACTCCCATACTGGCACCAACCAGGGAAGTTGCTGCCTTTGAGCAAAAATGTGGGTTAAAATGAACTCAAGTAATCGCTCTTTAATAGGGCGTGAAAATGCATCTAAAACACCAATGTCTATCGCGGTCATGTGCATGCATTGGGTGAAATTGACACTAATTCTACATATATGTATCTGCTTGGTCTTCAAGTAGATACGTCATTGTTAAGGGGTCCCTTTTATTACTTCGATTAGCTGCTAGAATCAATTTAAAACCTAGTAATTAGGAGGGTCTCAGTTCTTCAATAACATACAGTGTACCGTTTTTTATTCTTTGTTTTTGTTTTTCGCTGGGGACAAACTTCAAAGAATAGACCTTTTTAGCTTGTATTTTTTTGTTTTCCCATTTTTAGACCACGTAATGGTACCCAAGAGAACTGATTCTTTCAAATACCTTCTTATGCATGTGCATCCACGTAAATAAGTGTAAAGGCAAATTCCCTGGAGAACATCATGTGGTCTGAATTGGGAAAACAAAACAAACAAGCTAAAAATGTCTATTAACTACCATTTTGAAATATTTCAAGTGGCCAAAGAATTGAAAAACACTCATTATGGTCAGATATTCTACCAAGATGCTGACTATGACAAAAACGCAGCCTTTTTTAAGCAAAAAGGAACCGTGCTTTAATTGTTTATAGGTCAGCGTCAATTTGTCTTTCCACTTAGTCCTCACTCCCCTTTCCCGTCCTTTCAGGAATAGCTGAGTACACCCTTCTCAACTATCATAAAGACCTGCCCATGCTAACAGACCATGTGTACCATGATTATACAGAAAAAAGGAGCTGTTAATGATGTAAATTGTAGCTTTATGTCCATGGGATAGCCATGTTTATTACGACGATTTTTTTTATCTGTATACTTGTTAATACCATGCATTTGCGCAAACTCTTTATCATTAAAACTTACTTGGAGCAAACACTTAGGATGTGGCTCACTACAGTGATCACAGGTCACCATCCTCCACTCACACACGGTGGCCACGTGTTCATCCATTTTTTGTCTGGTTGTTTTTACAGCACAGTTCACATTTGGGCGAGATATAAGTTTGAAAGAGCAAGCTAATAGGTGATCCTGATAAAAACCAAACATAGATATTCGTTTGACTGTAGCAGTAATCATAGGTGCAATCTCGCTAACTTGCAAGGCCAGTTTGGGGTCAATAGAACTTTTTAGCTTGTATCTAATTTTGTTTTCCTATCACATACTATATGATGTTACCCCAAAGAACTCAGTGTTTCTTTCACACAAGTTGTCCTAAACACGTGCATATGTATGCATAACTAATGAAATGACAAAAGCCAAATACCCTTGGAAACATTACATGGTGTGTATTTCAGTATCTGAAAATATAACGCACAAGCCTGAATTTTGGTGAAGGTCCAACAATAGAAAGGTGATGGTGAGGAAAGTCAATACACTGATGTTGGTTATGGAGAAACAAGAGAATTTGATAATTGAGGTAGAGCAACAGGAAAATGGTAGCTTTGGTGTTTGTGAAAGTGATGAAAGAGTAAGTGAGAAGCTAGCTGTAGTTGAATATCACCTCTTTTTCCCTCAGTTCTCCAGTCCATTCACATCCAGTACTTGAACATTTTACACTGGCTCTATCAGGGAAAATATCCTGTGTAATGAAAGCAGTGGAAATATTGCATAGTGGCGTTGATATGTAATGTTTTATTCTTTGAGGAACTTCTCACCGCTGTCAAGACAGTAAAAGCTCAACCAACAGTCTTTGTCTTGCTTTTGAATTGGAAAACAATTGTATCAACTACAGGCCCTAGAAGACTCGGTTACTTGAAATCGATTTAAACGTCAAGAAAATGGCTGAAAAATAACCTTGGGTATTAGTAGATGCTTGAAACTCTGTTTAGTTAATGGTGTTTACGACGATTATCTGTGCGTCAAATTACATTGTAGATGAACAGATCTGAACAAGCGAACCCAGAGTCTAATATTATTGTCACGCTGTCAAGAGTCCATTTTCGGATTTTCCGTTTCGTTCGAGGTAACGAAGCCAAGTTTTGAGATAACAATCCAGTCTTGGGTTCCTCCTAATAAACATGCCCTTCTTTTTAATTGTTCTGCAGCGGTCGAAACAGTTCTTGCAATTGACTAATTGACTTTTGTGCTCTGTTAGAACGGTTGAAACAAAATCAAGTTCAAGTGTTTTTTTGAACGTTTTCCCTTGTAAAGTATTGGATTTGCAGACAACCACAGAGGGATTAAAAAAAATTAAAAAATGCCAATATGTATCACTGAAAGCCATATTAGTGCACAAATTTACCTTATCACAATCGAGCTCCTCTCTATCAACAGGGCAGTTACAAACAATTTGTTGACATTCTTGCCTAATAAAATGAAAGTGACCAAAATATCTTGTCTTGACATCTTTAGTTCTGGATAAGAAAAACGTATATCGCTAAAGGTGCTTCAAACAGCTCCACGGAGTGTAAAACTGTTGGGAAATTTTTACAGCTTTTCAGAAAGAGGATAAGTGGCAGTCAATAGTGCAAGATTTACAAATCAGAATAAAGAAAAATCGATCTAGCAGCCTCGTCCCTAGGCTTTCTCGGCTCGGTTAATCTGGACTTTACCGTGAGCTGTGACGTCACCGAGACAGACTCGCCGAGAAGCCGAGAACACGTTCTCTCGCCCGCTCTTTCTCAGACTTCGCGTGGACAATGGGTCAAGAGAGAACGCCTAGGGTCTAGGCTGCGAATTTAGATAAAATTAAATTTTGCGACAGATTACTACTTTCTTTGCCAGGCTGTATTACTCTAAAACAGCGTAAGGTTGTTTTGTCAGTATTAAAATAACGCGATACATGCCAATCGGTCCCCTCTTGTGTCATGAGTTAAACTTTTTACAGGTCGATATGAAGCTTTGAAACTAATTCCATGATGTGGATTCTCTACCGGGTGGAATTAAAATCAGTTAGTTTCGCCATTTTTCTCCTTATGCAGCCGAGATAAGAGAATTTCAACTGAACGTACCGCAGTATTGGTTGGGAAAAATAACCTGACCAATAGCGTGGCCTTTGATTATGTCCGGCGTAACCAATCAAACATTTGGTAATCGAACCCAATCGAACTCCAATCGTTCGTTTGACTTCGATTTGGTTCGGTAATTGAACTTAATCGAACTCACTCAAAAACTTTGCCGATCGAACATTAAAACGAACATGGGGGCAGGAGACGTAAAATTAACAATTCTGGAAGCGATGGTTAAAGGGCTAAAACAAGTGCTCTTTCGCCGTCGGTGACGGTGAAAAGTTTATTATTATAAAGAAAAGGGGGATAGGCCAGCTCTGAAAGTAACTGACGACGGTCGCGGCCAACTCGGACATTTGCAACAAGAACTGGTGCTTGCACTTGCGTGTTTCCCAGTATTAATTGTGAATTTATCGATTTTAAATCACTTTGACGATAAAGATTTTAGTACAGGTTAATTGAAATATGTTTGTTTTCAAACTGCCTCACATACATAGAGGAAGATCTCTCCGATTCAATTAATTGAAACTGGATGTATTCGTATTATTGAGGTGTCCATACCAGAGACATGTCTGCAAGGAGAGAGTTGGCTGTAGCTCCAGCCAATTTACATTTGTGACTACAAGTTAAGCGAAGCGCAAACATGTATGTAAATCATGTTTTTCTAACGTTATAATATATATATGTTCAAAATGAAGGTTTGTAGTGGTCCAAACAAAGTTAAACCAAGCTTCGCTTCCTCTCAAAAGATAGCTCGTAAATAATTTATTATGTTATGTGAAAAATGCTCCACATCTCTCTTTTCCGTTTAAATATCGGAACATTCCTGAAACAGATGAATGATTTAAACGACTTTGCTATTTCTAGTGACCGGTGTAACCACCGTCAAAGCCGCGTGTTATTTACGAATGTTTCCAGCCTAAGAAGTTTGTTATTTTCTTTTTTTAATTCCCTTAGAAGCTCTGTTAGCTTATATGTGTTGATAAAGTGGCATTCCTAACAAAGCAGCACCGTTAAACCGGTTATTGTCTCAGTAATTGTAAATAATGAATATATACGGAATCTGGCTCAACTTCCTGTTTCGGCGAAGGTCAGTAAATTATATTGTCTAATAAAAAACAAAATAAAGCTGATATTTTTCTTATTTCTAAGACACTGACCTATAATTTACAACTTTTTGCATTCAGTTCAACAAATACATTTACCTATTTGACATATGTCGCTCTAGGCACCCTCTACAAAATCTGTGACCACATCTAGTAAGAACCGGGATTCGCAACGTTAATTGGCAAATTGAACATTGCAAATCGTCGTCAACAGGATTTACAAAGTCTTCTTCATAGCCACAAGGCAAATCGGCGCGTTTTTCCACTGCCTCGCTTAAAACGTTGGTTCTTATCATGTCCGCTGCAAAACTATGTCGTCTCGCAAAGCATTGTAGATCTAAAATGTAAAACAAACGAGACAGCGCTTTCCTTGTGCACAGCAGGTGTTAACAGGGCGGCATAAATAAGTTTTCTGTACCCAAACTGTATCGAAGTTCAGCAAAAGAAAAAGAAAGTTGTTGTGTTGTGTCTACGTTCTCCAAATAGGCCATTTTACAGTTATGGATGGAAGCGAGGGTGAGGGTGACCTTGTTTTGATACAAACCATCTTTGCTTTGCTATGGAAATTGTTCTTGAAAAATACTAGTAAGCATAAGAATAACTTGATTTACATAATAAAGCAGGAAGGTTTGTATCAAAACAAGGTCACCCTCACCCTCCCTTCCATCCATAACTGTAAAATAGCCTATTACGTGAAATTAGGCATTTTCACGTCGTATTCGTGGAGTGACGGCAAAGAAATGTACAAAAAAGCGTGATGCACGTGCTAAGCTTTTGTTTTGCCAATCTAAACCTATTGCTTTTTTGCCGTTCTCGTTGACGTCGCCGTCGTCGCTACTTAAGCTCCTAAATATTCAACCAAAGGGGCGGCGAACCCCTTTCCAGTCTGCTCACTGTCACTGATGAGAGTGACATTCCTTCTGAGTAGACTTTAATGTTTTTATGCCTTCTTGTCGACTTAGATATACCTCACTGCTATTTATTCAAGTACTGCATTGATCGAGCTCGTTTACCGGTCTGGTAATAATCAAACAGTCACACACTTCATTGAGTTAAGGGCTATTGGGGGAATCCTCAAAGCCGCATTAAATAGAAAAATAACAAATTAAATCATTAACAATTTATTTCACAGGTCAGGTGGTTGGGAACGAGAGAACTTACCAAAGAAGAACATTATCACGCAACAACAACACAACAACCAGGCTAAAGAGAGGTCCTAATCCTGGTAATCCTCTCATTCCTTTCCATGAGTCCATCAAGTCCCCAGGCTACAGTGAGGTCCTAATCCTCTCACTGGGATCCTAATTCCCAGGCCCCCTGGGGACAACCACAACAAGAAAGGTTAGCTCCTTGTTACCATGGAAACAAGGCTGTCTGGGGGGGCCCATTCTGCCACAACAGCTGACCATGTGAGTCTATGGGGCAAAGGGGCGACCTGTATGAAGCACTTCATCCCCTTCCCACTGTCACGTTTTATTTACTTAAAAAGACAAACAATGAGAGATGTTGTTCTAAGCCTGATGAACTAACTGATCAGAGCTCATTGGGCAAACATAGGCCAAGTGTCGAAAATAGCACCATGCTTGAAGCAGTAACAGTTATATGTGTAACAATACAGTTGATAACATTCTACTTAGAAAATTACGCCGCTCACAGAGAGCCAAACAATAACAGTAACGATAAATTATAAGAATGTCTCAATAAGCAAACATACTGCTCAAGTCCAATTATAGCCTTTGTAACAATAAAGATATGGGCTCTCGACATAGCAGTAATTAGTTGATAAATTATACTAAGAAAATTGGCGCTGCTCACAGAGAGCCAAACAGTTAACTGTAACAATGATAAGAATGTCTAAATGAGCAACATACCGCTCAAGTCCAACAGCACTGGGCTGGATAATTATAGGTCTTTGTAACAATAAAGATTTGGGCTCTCGACATAGCAGTAATTAGTTGATGAAATTATACTAAGAAAATTGGCGCTGCTCACAGAGAGCCAAACAGTTAACCGTAACAATGATAAGAATGTCTCAATGAGCAACATACTGCTCAAGTCCAGCAGCACTGGGCTGGATAACTATAACGCTTTAAACATTTAAGATAGGCAAGGAACCCTCTACATAGCAGTATGATTAGTGTAGCAAACCAGTAAATGTTATACTTAAATAATTATGTACATGGCTCATAGAGAGCCTGTTAGGGTCGGGGGAAGGGTGAGAATTTCTCAAACAGTTTCTGGGAGGTCAGAGAACTTGAAGTGAACTACAGATGTGAAGGTACGGCCGCACGGTCTTTGATTGACATAAAGGGAAGGCATCGATGTGATTGGTCTAGAGATAAAACGTCACAAAGGGGGCAAACCGTGAACCTTGTCTCGGCAAGATATTGCGTGACAAACCGTTTATTTCAGAAGGGTAGCTCATATAATTTCTCTGACCCCCCTTTCATGGTTGTTTGCATTAACTTACATTTATATTACTTATAAATTGGCTTAAATAACACATTGAATCTGGCACCAGAAATGGCTAAGTTTACAGATCGAAAATCATCGTAAAGGTACTCCACACCTATAGCTCTGAAGCATGACCATCTTTTAAGTGTAGCAAATTACCAGAGCTTTCATATGAAAGATTTGCTAACGTTGTGATCAGTTTTTTTTTTTTTCGGTTTAGCCAATGAGAGGCTAGAGGAGTCATCGATGAAGGTTTACCTATTTAAAACAGACCAACTGTTATTACGTCCAAGCTGACTTATTCACACGCCTACCTCTTCATAAATCTGAAACAGAGCAGTCATATCTGGAAGGAAGTGGGAAGATGTGTGCCCCGTTCAGACGAGAACACTTGCAGCAAGGCAAGACTGATCTATTTAATTTCGCGGGGAAAGTCTGAAATCCAGACACACAAAGACTTCAGAATCGCACACCAACCTTAGGCATGCACACAGCCAAGTCACATGGGCAGTGGTTAGGCCAGGGATAGCCATTGACACCTGTCCCGTTCTTGTTAGGATTCATCAGCATGGCATAGTCGTCGGATAATAGTGAACCGGAAGGTTTATATGAACTTAAGTGACAAGGAGAATGCAAAGCACTCGTTTTTAGTGCTCCATATAGCCTAAGAGCAGACGTTTTCTAGTTCATTCGTCTGCGCTCAGGCTAGCTCCACACAGCACATACATGTATGACTATTTTTTTTTTCGATTTTGGGGTACCTATCGATCCTTAAGCTTATAATTGAAGTAATCACGGATGCATAAATGGCTAATTTTCTAGTGTAATTCAGATAGCCAACTACTCGGGTTACTACAAAAACACAGCTTTTCGTATTTTTTTTCTCGGTTCATCCGCTATTCGGAATCGATAGGAGCAACCTCTAACATGAACAAAAAGCGTGCCGTTAGCAACGTAGACATGCTCACTTAAGTTCGGGTAAGAAATAAATCTTGCTATCCCCTGTGATTCATCCACTTCGTCAGCGACGGGCCCAGTTGAAAAAGTGACATTTAAAGACTGACAGCTGTCAGTTCTTGTACCTGCTTCTGAAGAAATTCGAGTTTTTCTGTTGCTTCTTTTAAATTTTTGAGCGTTAACTCGAGGTGAAGAGTCGTTGTGGGGTCTGAAGGTAACCTTCTGCTTCCTTTCACTGAATCTGAGCTATAAAATATAAATTTAATCATTTTTATCAACAGCAATTTGCGGCTTTTTATGGGCTTCAATATCAGCTGTAAAATCTATATGATGCATAAACTGCAGTGTTAGTTCTTACAGTGTTTACCAGCGCAAACAGTCGACTACGTGTATAATGTATACCTTTGAACTTTTCTGTTGTGTCGGATTGACTGGTTAGTTGAATTACGGGTGCGATCCATTGGGATGATAGGGATCTGGATCAGTGATCCAAGATCACTCGGATCATCAACCTTGTTTGCTATAATCCGAGCGTTCAAACAGATCACAAATGTCATTGACAAGTACTGACATAAATAAAACTTGGTTTACACTATCATTTAACATCGCCTCGACTCTCCCTTGTTCTCGAAACCGTTTGACGCCGTTTGAATAGTTCACTTAATACTTTTGGAACAAAGATATCACCATTTTGATGGCAGCCATTTTGTCTGGTTTTTGAATGTTTTAAACACCTTCGATCACATTTGCCGTTACAATCGAACATCTTCCAACGAATAATCATTTTCAGTAAACGTTTTTTGGAAAAAAGGCTAACGTCCTGTTAAGTCACAATCACGGTTCGTACACTTTTTCTGCCGTAAAATTCAAGGACTTTTCAACGACTTTCAAGGACCACATTTTTAAATTTCAAGGACCTTATTTATTACTATTAACACAGGTTCCAAATAAACTATAAAAATATTCTGATAATAATGGGCCTTTTTCCTTAATGGCAACCATTTTTTTTATGAAAATTCGTTTGTGAGTGCTTATCAAAGAATTACATCCCGTAATGAACAAGACAATAATGACCGTGCTTCTTATAAGATGTTCTTCGATTAAAATTCAATGACTTTCAAGGACCAAAATGAACGAAAGAGAATTTCAAGGACTTTCAAGGCCTTGAAAAAGGACTCTTAAAATTCAAGGTTTTCAAAGGTTTTCAAAACGCGTACGAACCCTTCACATTGCTCCGATCTTTTTGTTTCGTCCAAATTATGATGACAAAAACCATATACAGTTGCTTAATTACACTGACAAAAGGAAAAACATAGCGGACTCACACCCTCGCCCGCGGGGAGCAATTTCAACCTAGTGGACCAATTTGTTATGTTTAGCATAATGCCTAGTGTTCAAAAGTAGTGAGATGTTGAACCTCTGATACTATTCAGGAACTCTGTATACAATGAAGCTCTTGTAAGTGGAATGTTTTCATCTGAATTTTCATCTGAGTCTGAATCTGAATCACCACTCTCAGAGTCATGGCGCCCCACTTCAACCTGAAGAAACAATGTGTCGTGTTCAACATAGCGCCGGGTTTTTAACACCTTGTGAGATATCAACCTGCGAATTCCCAGAAGCTCGGGGTTTTGTTCCACCGTAGGCCGACTGGAGAAACTGCCACTGGGTGTTTGAGTTTCATTGGGCTTCAGGACCGCTACAATGGTCTTCCTCTGCGCAGCATCAGGTTGTTGGTCGATTACACTAAAAGTAACTTCCTCACGAAAGGGCCAGGGAAGAATGGCATCGTAATCGCCTTTCATAATACCAACATATACCGACATATATCGGTTCCTGTTAGTTTGATCTCCATCTGGATCGACGCGTACATTCAACTTGTAGC